TGGTAAGGGTCTTACGGTTTCAAGTCAAAAATATAAACTGGACAACAGAAAAGCAGGTCTGCTAACGAGACCCTAATTTGGGTGTTGTCAATATGCCATCGCCCGGATGTGTACCAGGGATAAACCAACTTTTCTGGAATGTGGGGAAAGGATAACTTGACGTGCAGCTCACGATTATTACGAATCATTGGCTCTTTGCCCTCTCCCTGATAGTTTCGGGCGCAGGAATAGGCACACATCGACCTGTTGGCTACCAGAAACAAAAGCGATGGTGTTTTCCATAACATTAATCGATCTTTTCAGGGACTAAGTGGTGACTCGATTAAATGTGTCTATGACCTCTAATTTTTGTCTTCATTGTACAAGAAAAAAAAAACGGAACGAACTCTCGTGCTGACCAGACAGACTGACAAGACCGAAGAAACGCCAGAAGAGACAGCTGTCACAGGGTTACTTTTGAGCGGATCAACGTCTGCCACTGCAAACATAAAACTTCTAGTCCACACTATGAAGACGATCTACGGATGATATCCGGCCGACGGGTCGACAGTACGAGCCAACAGACGATCGCCAACGAAATCGAGTAAGTGAAGAATTGACAACTCGATCGTGCGTGGCCCACACAGACGCGCCGTCTGACTTTGTAAACCACAGTGTCCACGCCCAACTCCGGTCGCCCTGACCTTGGCTTGCCGGCAGACGACAGCGAATGTGAGAAGAGAGTGAGGCAGATGGGGTGCAAGTCTGTTGCAGTGTAAATAAATTGAGGGGCAAGTCCCGGCTGCGTCCGCCTGGTGGAGCAGTGGTGAACTTCGCCCGCGACGGTCAAAGTAAGGCGTATGTTAGTATTGATAGATGCAAAGATGTGCGTCGATAGGAATAACTGAAAACGAGAGGTGACCTTAGGCATCATAGTCATATTGTTCCAAAGCGGACGAGCTTGTGTCATCAGAGGTACCTAGGCCAGGCGTGAACACAGGTAAAAACGAAGTTGGCTGAAAGTGAGCGCAGACACGTCGAAGCCGCATTAAACGAAGACGTAACCGTCAACACTAGTGCAGCAACCAAGGCCGAAGCGACGAGAGCAAGAGCAATCGGGAGGTGGAAGGGAAGCGACCCAGGAGATGGCAACCAAAGTCCACGCAGACGCAGGCGATAGGCGCCAATGTCCAAACAGGTGTCCCGACGGATCAGCACGACAAAAGGCGAGAGTGCGGACCGGGAATATTAATTATGATAGTGGGCGCTCACCGATCAGGTTAGGGAACATGCTCGTTCCGTTGTGCCGACAGGACAACGGGCCCGTGGCTCAATGGTAGAGCGTTCAACTCCATGACCAAAGTTCCCGGGTTCGAATCTCAAGTGATCCACACTT